GCCCACCACTTCCGAAACCATCTGACACAGTGGTCGTGAAAATTGAGTTTTTTGACCAGCTGTAGATTGATATTTATTCGGGTGCCGCCCACTTACCATGCCTACTATGATCTGGTCGATTTGTGTGTAAAGGTATCATTTGACATTGCAAAAAATGTCATTACACCTTTGCTGCATAATCCTGGATATAGTAATTTCTTATACTTTCAACGAATACAACAAGGAATTTGAGGAATTGATATAATTTTTTTGTGCAACACTTCAGAACAAACACCGAAATTGCCTCTACCGACCAATTGAACGGTTCTAGTCTTTCTTCAAATGCAGTTCCCACGACCGACATGAGGCAGCCTACAGTCCTGGTTATCCACACCAACCCAGACTCATCAGTTGTGTTACGCAACACGTATCGCCCTAATCCCATCCTGTCCGTTGGGCGAGAGGTGAATCTTTTTTTTGGAAATCTACATCGCTTCATGCCAGACTCGTCGACAGCAAGACGTTGAGGAACCCTTGTCTGGATGAACTTCAGTAGCACTCTCGACCGGGACTCGTCATCATTGCAACGGTTTTCGAGCCGGCCTCTCGCCTGTCTCGATGAAAAGGGACATGCTACTTTTCATTGTGATTGCCTGGCCTTGTATGTGTTATCGCGCGACGGTGAAATTGTCCAAAAGAGACAGGTCAACACCAAATTTGCGTGTGGAACTAAGTGAAAGAGCCCTGCCGGTGGGCGACTTCCGGTACCTTCTGCTTTGGACAGGATGCATACGATTAATTTTGATACTTCTAATCAAGGAGCGCCAACAGGGTCAACTGGCCTACTTTACAACACAGAGTCAGCTGTCGACATAGCCTCGTCTTGCAGGGCATGAAGGTTACATGTCCGAACAGGCAAACATGAGCAGAAACACCCACGCAATGCAGCAAACAGATGCTGGACGAAAGAACCCATCCGATTTATGCTTGCTGGCACAGTTGCTTTTCTGGCAGTTTTTCGTTTTTACTCTCATTTCATACAAGCCCAGAGAAAGGCCCATCAAGCATTTTCCACACATTTTCGTCTGGACAAGACACCATGCCGGTTGTTAGCCACCGGCTACAAAGGCCTTGTCAGCTCAAGGATAAATGTTCTTTGAAGCCGTGGATTAGGAGGGTTGGACTTGCATTCTGGTGACAATAAATCAGTAAACATTTGATTTACACCCACGGAAAAGGACAATTAGGTTGGAGTCCAGGACCAGAACCAGAACCACATATTCACTCGTGCAAAGATAGACCAAAATAGCTCAGAGCATACTGAGCCTTTGTCCAGATCAGGTCTAAAACCAATATATTTTGGAACTGGGGGTCTCAATTAGAGCATGTCAGCCAGACTCTTGGACTTGTTGGGAGATGAAATTGTAAACAGCCTGACAGCAGCAACAACAAACGAGCAAGATGATTCAGGCACTGACAGCCAACTATGCCAGACCGACCTCTTCATTTTCCATGGTTACTGTTTGCATCTTGTCGAGCACTTGTTGAAGCCAAAC